TCCCCCTAGTACTGGGAACCAGACCTAGGGACTGGGACTGGACATGTGAGAACTTAACCACCAAGCTACACTCTCAGCCTGGAATGAATTCATTTTATTAACTTGTTTGTTTCCCATGGTCTTCATAAAGGCAGTCATTAATAATCAAATTCTGAGGTCAAGATCAGGACAGCTGGACTGTCCAATAAAGAGCACACCCATATGTAAATCTGCATCCTAAAGTAACATTATGAAAACTGAGTGGAAATTAAAAACAGGTAGGAAGTTTTCTTAAACATTGGTTTTTGTTCTGTAGTGCAGAGATTTGTATTTTGGGTATCTGGAATCCTGAGTGTGAGTTTTCATTTGTTTGTTTTTTAAGCTTCAGGCCCTCTAAGATGCACTAGTCCTCAGAACCACCCCCCCTAGGAAATGTTAACTTACATCTCTGGGACTCTAACTGGGAGGTTGCACTCGTTAGGGTCTGTTGGCATTTGAAGGAATATAATGAAGTGCTCCCCTTCAGAGTCCTCAGCCATAAGCATTTACCTTTAACTTTCTTTACTACTACAGGATTACCTGTCAATTACCATGAGAAATGGTGCAATTTATTTCACACTAAAAGGAGAATTCAAGCTATGTGGTTTGGCTGGAAATGAATTTAAGGATCTCACTGGATTTCAGCTAAATATTTATTTAGCCCCATGGCTTGCCTAGCATCTGTCTATGCCTTTGAAGTCCCAGGCCCTTAGTGAATACTAAGACTCAGTCAGATCTTGAAAGTTAGCTAGAATGGAATTATCTGCATTTGCCTCAAGTAAACTTTTTCCAGGGGACATTGTCCATTGACTAGACTTCCCTGACTCTAGTGTCTGTGTCGTTGTGCCCACTGGCTGAGATGAGTTTATGTGATCAGCAGAATTTATAGCAAGCTGCTTTATTCACTCTTGCACATTGCCTGCTGCCAGGCTGAGAGACCAGGAGTCAGACAGATGGGGAGAGGCGCCATGGTTAGGTAAGAAAGGTGAATTTCCAAGGTGGCCAGCTTCTTCCTCAGCCTCCTGACTTAAGACAAAAGCCTGGCAACTTTTGTCTCAGGCCAGCAGGCCCCCTGAGGATGGATTGGCTCAACAAGTTCAAGGCTGGATCAGGACATGTCATACAACAGGGGCAGACCAATCAACCATCCTGACTATCTTCAAACTGACCAACCCTAAATTAAGGGAGGAAAACTCTTCAGAGGCTTTAAAACCCCCAGGCCTCCAGGAGAGACTAGATCTTTTTGGTTTCTCAAGTCTCCCCTTTACTCACAGAGAGTCTTTTTCTCTGTGTGTCTATTACATGTGTGTGTTTCCTCACCCCCAATAAATGCCTTTACTCCTAATTCTGTCTGTGGTAAGAATTCTCTACTACTGCCTGTTGTGCTTCAGAATTTTCCTACCTTTTAATTCTTTAACTGGCAGAGAAAACGAACCCAGTCAGAAACCCTAGACTGTGGCATCATTTTCAGACTGTATCACTTTGGGGGCTTGTCTGGGATTTCTTTTGTAGACTGTATCAAGGCCCCTGGGATTAGACCTCCACCCTTTACTTACCTAGTGTCAGGAGGCATCTAGTATTCTGAACAGGAACTCTCTGTCCACTCAAGACAGTCCTATCCAGAGCCCAGAGTAGAAGCATTTCAGTTTTCATGCTTGTCTCTTGACAGTGGATGCCACAGTTCTGCTCAAAATGTCCCTAGCACTTTTGTGTTGTTCATATATGGATGATTTCATTCCTGGCTGGCAGGTGAGGGGAAGCAACCTCAAAGCTTGTTTGCTTGCTTTCCTGACTTCCCTTTGGCATTTTCCAATGAGTCACCCTTGGCTGTGAGGACGCTTGGATTCAGGGCATTTGTCTGAGCCAAGGAAGGTGAGCAGGAGCTGGGACTGGGAGGCAAAGAACCAAGTGTAAGTGCGACAGTGGAACAAGATGTCTTCCAAGTCAGGCTCTGGCCACAGTCCTTGGGGCTCTCCTTTGAGTGTTGAGTCAGGTTGTCTAAGGTCAAGGAATGTTAACAACAATAACATTTGATGTGCTTTATAAAATGCCTCCCATTATAGCAAATAAAAGCAACCATTGTGAAAAAGTGCCCTGCTTGTAAACAGAAGTCAAATAAGATATGCATTTCCAGAGCAAAAATCATCCAGCTTCCTAAAAGAATGAGGTAGATTTGTTTGTGCTGGTAGGGAATGATCTCCAAGGCCTGTTAGTAATGGAAAAAGCCATACATCAAATCAACACTCAGTAAGAGCTCAAGAGAACAATATTCTCTAGGTTACTGATCTTTTAAAATGATGTGCATGTTACTCATGCAATTAAAAATAGAGCCAGATGTGCGAAAATGAAATATTTGGTATTCATGCAGAAAGACAAAATTACCCTTGGAGTTGAACTATATATAGCACCTGAACCTAGGTGGGTCTGAGCACCTTTCAAGTGCTGAGTACTAGGAGTGAATGCTTTTCTGCCTCACATATTCTCTTGCTCTATAGAGGATTTTGATCATCTGTCATTTCATCCATCAATGCATAAATCCCAAGAAGACAGCACAGTCCCACCAGCTGAGCTCCAGGGTCATTCTCTTGCTGGTCCTCAGCAAAGGTGCTTGATAATACATTGCTAAATGATTAGAGATTCAACTAAGAGATTTGTTGCTTTAATCCATCTTGGCAAAGAAAAGCTATGCCCAGAGGCTGTGATAAAGCCAAACATACAAACCACACATCTGCTATGTGAACTTTTATAGGAAGGAAGAGCCTTAAAAATCAAGTGATGGGAGCTTTCTCTTCCAGTTAAGAAGTTTTGCCCTCGATTTTGATGAATACAATTTTTCCTTATCTGTTGTTAGGGACCTAACTGCATCTAGGCTTTAAAAAATCTACACTTAGGACTGAAGTTGAACTCAGTGGTACAGCCCTGGCACAGGTATCACGAGGCCTTGTGTTCATGCCCATTACTGTGAAAACCCAAAACCCAAACCAGAATAAGCACTCAAAAGATCCTGTCATGTTTAATAATGACAAACCTAACCCAGTGGGGACAAGTCAGCCTGGCAGTGGCTTTGCCAGCCTTGGGTGCTTCCTAGTTCATCCCCTTTGTGAAATTCAGCTCATTCCAACAGCCCTTGAAGTTCAATCTCTACAAAGTGTTCATTGGGATTTCTAGGAGCTTCTCATTCGGGACCAGCCTGATTCTAGGGGGAAACCACCTGAGTGGAGAGGGCAACAGTTTGGGTCAGCCTTTCTCCCCATTTTGCATTCTTGGAAGTAGTGTGCTCACAGAAAGCCTTTAATCAGTTGTGTTTGGGCTCTGAGTAAATCTGAGTAGGAACTGTGTCAGGAAGTTTGATCTGGTCTCGTGATTTTCTGCTTCTCGGGGGTGGAACTTTGAGAACTCCGCTATCTAGCTGGGCATTTACAGCAAGTTACCGAGTGTTTCTGTGCCTCGGTTGCTTCTCTGTAAAACCAGATCCTTGGCTTTGCTGAGCCTGGAAGGCACAAAGAACTCTGGGATTCAAGACTGCTCAACAACCCAGAGTCCTTTCTCACAGGAAAGCTCTCATGCTCAGGCCTGGAATATAAGGAAGGCCACAAGAATGAAAAAAGCGACAGAGCAGCTTTTCACTTCAAGAGACCAAAGGAAACAGTGTCAGCCATGAAAAGTAAGGGAGCTGCGGCTGTCCTTCGATAGCTCTCTCAGGACAGGACATTGGAGAGGTGAACTCCTGGAATACAAGGTATTAGTCAGTGTGTTGGTTTTCAGGACAATGTCTCATTCTGAAGGTTCTAGAAACAGAATTTATTGGATGGACATTTTAAGCAGGGAAGAATGAGAATAGCAACCACGTTTGATGAATGGTGAATTTGAGGAAGGACAGACATAAAAGGTCAACATAACAAACATAACGTCCTAATTAACACTTCCCTCCAGTACTAACACCCTCCTCTCATTCTTCTTTCATTAAAAAAATAAAAAAAGTCCTGCAAGTGGCTTTGAAGATAGAATCTTTTCCTTGAACTATAAAAAGACTTAACTATTTATATTGTTCATAATTTAACACCTCAGCGATGAGAAGCCAGAAACACGTGTTTTTACCTCTCACAGGGGCAAAACTTGTGGGTTTTTTGTTTCAGTGTGAGCAACAGAACATGATAGCCTCATGCATCTAGGCAAATGCTCTATCATTAGCCCACAAATCTCCAGCCTCAAATCTGCATTTTTCTCAGGCTCAATCAAACTTTCCCTCACAGCTTTTGAAAACTTTATCTCAATGACAGTGTCAAGGTCGTGTTTCTGCTAATAACTGACCTCCTATCTTTCTCTGGACCACACTGATCCATTTTGAGGGAAACACTCTTGATTAGCCTTCAGTTTTAGAACACAGTAAGCATGCCATGTGCTAATTATGGTCAGTGACACCATAAAATAAAAGTGCATTACTTAATGCTTTCAACTTCTTATAATGATGGTAAGGTGGCATGTCATGGGGCCATTTTAGCCCGAGACATCACTCCAGAGAATTCCAAACAGATATAGACAAGTGCCACCCAAACCCATCTCCTTCCCCTCGGGCTGCTTATCCACAGGAATAGGATGTCCTGAAGCAACACTTCCCCCAACTGGAGTGCTGATAAGTCCAGTTATCAGAAAGATATTGCTGTGAGTGTGATGCACAGAGCTTGCATTTTCTTGATAGGTTAGTCATATGAAAGCTGGCAAAGAAGGAAAAAGAGCAGCGATGTGGTGCAATATTAACAGACAGCTGTCCCTGGCTTCCCGATAAGTAGGATGACTCGCATTGCTGAGCCATGCGGTCACTGCCAAAGGAATGGCCCTCTCACATTTCCCCCTGATTCGTATGCACTGTGGCCAGCTTGTCATCTCCTCCCTCTTGGGCTTCCCAGACACTGAGTCTGGAATGAAAATTCACCTGCCTCTGAGTTGGCCGCGGGTGGGGGCAGGGGTGATACTTGACTTCCCAGGTTGGAAGATTATCTCACCCAGCCCTAACTATATAAGCAGCTGGCGTGGAGGGGCTCCGCAGGGCCAGCTCCAGGGGTTCATCCACGAGAGAGAAAACCGCGCAGACTCACGGCTGCCGAGATGATGGTGCTGAGAGTGGAGGAGCTGGTATGTAAGACATCTTTCTTGCCTGACAAAGCTCGGTTCATCTTGGCTTTTATTCGAAAGTTCAGATGCTCTTTCTTTTTTGGGTGTAATTTAAGGGAAGTCTTCAAATGTCAAGTATGGAACAGGGTTTGTTTATGTGATACACAAGTGAAAGTGGGGAAAAAAAAAACAAATTGGACAGCAATGTATTTTCTTGTTTATTGTCTTCTCCTTGGGTTTCATTACTATGATATGCAATAATGTAGTTATCACAACTTGGGGTACAGGTTTTACTGCAAAAATAAATGTCTGGACACTTTACAACTCAAGGCTCAAATGAAAGAATTGAAAAGTAAGTGGGGGTGTATTAGTGAATTTCCTAAGAGAAAGTGGGTTGTGTGGCTAAAAGTAAACACAACCTGATGCACACCTTGTCTTACTCTGTGCCTCTGACAGTGCCCTGCCTGAACGTGGCGGTCCTCAGGGAGGAAGGGCTGAGGACCTCCTGCAGCATCTTTTGTGAAGAGTGACCCTGGGATGGGCAGCACTGGTTCTGACCTCACCGTCTTCCTCACATATAGGTAACAGGGAAGAAGAATAGCAATGGAGCCACAGGAGAATTCCTTCCTGGGGATTTCAGAGATGGAGAATATGAAACTGCCGTTGCCTTGGAGAAACAGGAGGATCTGAAGACGCTTCCAGTCCACCGTGTGAGCCTGGAGGAGCAACAACAGAGAAGTGAGAAGCAGCGAGAGACGGAGGTGAGGACCCATGGAATCTACTAGTGGGAGACTGGGGTGTGGAGGTCCTTGAAGGAGAAGGGAAAAGAGATGGAAAATAAATAAATAAACCATTCGAAAGATGTCTCCATCAAATTCTAACCCACAAAGATGCAAAGAATCAGTATACATGGAAATGATTCTTAGATGAAACCATGACCTCTGGATTCTGAATCAATGACTTTCTGTGCTATGGCCATGTTTTGATCAAAAGACAGAAAAATAATCATAACCAGGGAAGCCCCAATGGCACATACTGTTTACTTAATGTTGAACCAGGATTTCTTCTTTTTGATAACATTAGTTATCATAGATCGTAGTCAGAACAAGTTTGCTATATTTATTGACATTTATTTTTGTTGAAGTTTTTATTGAAATTGTTTTAGCTGACTAATATAAAAAGATGTGCACTCATTGGCAGTGATCTCTGTTTCTGAGACTCTGAGTAGTGGGGGCCATTTGAGAGAGAATGCATCGGTATTTGAGAACTTAATATGTATTTTCTTTCCTAGGTAAAACATACTTTAGTTTCTGAGAGTAAGAAAACAAATTCCATAGAAATCTGAAGTTTTCTTTCTGCCAGTACTAATTACAAAGTGATAACTGAGAGACTCCATTGTGCCTCCATCCAATTAGTCAAGAATTAGTTCTACGAGCAAAGAAAGTAAATATGACTCAGATTAAAATTAAACCCCAGATACATTAATGGAAAAAAAATCACTGAAGTCAGACATTTACTTAAAAGCGTTTTAAATTTCCTTTATGAGAAAACCATTCACATACTTCCCTCAGACCTTACAGGTTTTGTTTATACACCACCACAGTTAGAACTCACCATATTTTTAAACGTCTGATTTCTTCTCTCTCTCTCTCTCTCTCTCTCTCTCTCTCTCTCTCTCTCTCTCTCTCTCTCTCAGCTCAAAAAGAAAAAATTAGAACAAAGATCAAAGCTTGAAAACCTAGAGGACCTTGAAATAATCGTCCAACTGAAGAAAAGAAAAAAGTACAAGAAAACTAAAGTTCCAGTTGTGAAGGAACCGGAACCTGAAGTTATTGTAAGGACTGTTGGTTTTCCAGGATTGTACATCCACGTGGGTTCCAGGGCTGAGCGCTGTGGAGGAAGACTGCAAAGCCCGTGACCACTTTCCTTTTCTCTCCTTTTTTTCCCTCCTTTCTCCTCAATCTCTTTCTCTTCTTTGCTCTCTTCCACTTCCTTCCCATTTCTTTCCCACCCTCCTCTGCCTTCTCCTGCTCTCTCTCTCTCTCTGTCTCTTCCTCTCCCTCCTCCACCCTCACTTTAGACTGAACCCGTGGATGTGCCGAGGTTTCTGAAAGCTGCTCTGGAGAACAAACTGCCAGTTGTAGAGAAATTCCTGTCAGACAAGAACAGCCCTGACGTCTGTGATGAGGTAAGTAGGGCTCATGCCTTCTTGTAGGCTGGCCAATACGGTCTCCCACCTAAGTTCCCCCAGCTGTGCTACATCTGCCAGGAGCATAAACATGAATGTATGGTTCTTCCCTGCCCCCACAACCCCCAAATACTGGATTAGCATTATGGATTTCGAGGAGTTTTTCCTGTCTTCATATAATTCTGTCCGATTTATCTGAAGACATTTTGCCTTTAAGTTCTTAGATCCTTCAGATAGACTTCCATAAGGGCAAGGTCAACAAGTTTCTCCTGGAGAAAGATATTATTAGCAGTGTCTTTTATCAAACCCAACTAGTTCAGCGTTAGGAGGGGAAGATGGAATTCCCAGTCTACCTCCATCACTACCCGATTTGGAGTAGCTTCCCTGCGCTGTCTTCCTCTCAGCCCACCTGTAAGCACAGTCTCATTCTGTTAGCCTAATGGCTCCTTGCTACAAAGCCAACTTGTCAGAAATCGCAACTTTGTATTGCTTCTCCAGTACGTGAGCTGAGAGGGCAGCTCCCGCCAAAGCTGAGCTTCCTTTCTTCAAAAATGGATTTAATGGTTTTTGATATTCAATCTAGCACTAATTCTGCATGGAAGAAAACCATCTGCTGTACTTGGCATGTGCAAATTTGAAAAGGGACATTTCAGCATTGAGATGGTTTTTGAGGTTTGAAGTCCACATCCTTCTGCCTTGGCCTTTAGCACTTAGGAAGGGTCTAGGACAGGAAGCTCAGGTTAGCTGCCAGATAATTATTCTAATCCTGCAATTTCAGTGAGCTCTGGCCTTCTGATTCATTAAAAAAAAAAGAAAAAAAATTCTGGCCTTTCTATCACTTAGGTCATCATAGTCCCAGCTTCACAGCTCTTAAAGGATTATGTGCATTTTTATACACACCACTATCTCTTGTTTTAATCTTTGACAGTATAAACGGACCGCTCTCCATAGAGCATGCTTAGAAGGACACTTGGCAGTTGTGGAGAAGTTAATGGAGGCTGGAGCCCAGATTGAATTCCGTGATATGGTAAATATATTTCTTTGCTTGGACATGAGCCAAAATAAACAGACTATCTGAAAGCTCAGGAAAACGTACAATGAAAAAACCGGCCCAATTGGATTGAAAATTGATCTGAGAAAACTAGTGAAAAGCTCATTTCTCCGTACAAAGGGAGGCTGGGCGATGAGACTAGGTCATGTGGAAAGTATTTTCCAGACAGACTGAAGAGGAGAGGGGTGGTGCAGGGAAGAGAGGAAGTGAGAGCTGTTGAGCAGAATTCAGCAGCCTCACCAGAGTTTGGGTCATTGTCAAGTCAGCGGCATCCCTGGCCTTTCCACCCCACTCCTTCCGTCAGAAGGTGCAGCCTGCTCCTGGCCCCTCAGCTGCCAGCAATGCATGAGAATTTCCTAGCTGCATACTTTATATGATGGATGCCAATTGCCACCGAGGAGATTTGGAGTCAGGCTGCATACTAAATGACTCACGACTAAGGAAAGTGGCTGCTATTCAGACCCTAACAATCAGCCGCTCTGATTTCCATAAAGACCAGTATACAATATATTTTATACCCTCGAGATTGAACTGGAAAATGCTTCATTTGTTTATATGCAGCTCAATTTGACATTATGGTAAAATGGAAAAGGAATAAAAAAAATCTAAAGAACTTAGCCTGAATTGAATCAAAGGACAATATATTGAAAAAATTTAAGACATTAATAATAACAAAGTTTGGATGAAGAGAGGCCCACACCAGAGATAAACCAAACAAAGCCGAGAGGTGGCAATCTCTTCTAAGTGCAGTGTACAGTGACCACAGTGATTGACAGCTGAGGTCCCTAGGCTGTGCCAGTGTAAAAAACAGCACAGAGCCAGCCGGCGATGGCCAAAGACAAGGCTACCTGGGATGAGGTGTTGGATCCAGATTAAGATATTCTGGAATGTGATCAGACTTATTAAAAGCTTCCTGACTACACACACAAATCCAGCCACGCTCACACAGGTTAGCTGAGAGAGTTAGAAGACCCTCAGAAGTGGTTCTCAAGACCAGGAGCACCTAGAACTATCCGTTGCTCATATTCTCCCAGCCTTTGAAACCAAAGACCATCCCCCACCCTGATAAGAGTCTCCTTCACACTGTCTTGTCTTGTGTTTTTTTCTTTCCCAAATAGCTTGAATCCACAGCCATCCACTGGGCATGCCGTGGAGGAAACCCGGATGTCCTGAAACTGTTGTTGAACAAAGGCGCCAAAATCAGTGCCCGAGACAAGGTATTTCCTTGCCCTTCCTCAGGCTTCTGCTCCTTGCTTGCCCACGGGGGTCCTCTGCCAGCCCTCATTCTGTGGACACCTCAGCCACACACGCGCCATTTGCACGTGCCCTGAGGCTTTGGACAGCGTCTGTTCTCACTCCTTCTCCGTCTTCGAACTTTTTAGCTGCTCAGCACAGCGCTGCACGTGGCGGTGAGGACTGGTCACTACGAGTGCGCAGAGCACCTCATCGCTTGCGAGGCAGATCTCAATGCCAAGGACCGAGTGAGTAGCTGACAAGGCTGAGTCACCATAAGCGTATTTAAAATCACCCAGGCGAGCTGGGGTACCCTGGCAGGACCCACTTCCTGGCTTCACACTTACCACACTTGCTTACCCTGCTTCTAGGAAGGAGATACCCCGCTGCACGATGCTGTGAGACTGAACCGCTATAAGATGATTCGGCTCTTGATGACGTTCGGGGCAGACCTCAACGTCAAGAACTGTGTAAGTACTCAAAGCAAGGGTATCACTGGTCAGCTTCCTACTTTCCAGAATTTCTCAAATATTTGAAAATATTATTCCCATGGTAGTAACTTTTGAGGCACACTGATGGTTCAGGCGTGTCTATTTCCATGAGGACAGGGTGAGACTTGGCAAGGACTGGGGTCACAGGGTCAGTTATAGGGAACTTACAAAGAACTGCTCTGACTTTGGAGCTTAAATAGTTCTTTGAAAGATTGGTCTTGAATAAAAGATGGTCAAAACTGTCACCTTTAAAATCCACATTGTGGCACTGGAGAGACAGCTCAGCAGTTAAGAAGAACACTGGCTGCTCTTCCAGAGGACCTGGGTTCAGTTCCCAGTACCCACAGGGTGGCTCACAACCATCTATAATGGGATCTGATGTCCTCTTCTATCATGCAGGCATACATGTGGACAGAGCCCTCATATACATAAAGTACATAAATAAACAAATCTTAAAAAATATAAATCAAAAGCACATTGGATAATTCTAATCTGCCTTGGTCATTCCTGGCTGAGTAGAGCTGGGAGTTGGTAGGAATGAATGTACCCAGCTTTCTCGAAATAGCTCCAATTTACACAGAGACTGAAATTAATTAATACCCAATCTGGGGAATTCCAAATAGTCCTGCTTTCCTTACAATAATATAACATGTCGCCACTCTTCCAGGGATCACTATGCTTTTTCTGATGTTTTAAAAAAAGATAACTACCATTTATTCTCCATTTTATATGCACATGTCTTGAAATAATTTCCTACATTAGGTCCCAAGAATTCCTACCTAAGTATACAAACTAATTTAGCGTCATCCGTACATGGGGAATGTAAGCAGCTTACTCTCATGGCTGCAATCCCCAGACGACGTAGTTTAAAGAAGATCGGCAGGAGGAACAGTCATAGATCACCAAAGAAGTGCTCTTGAGGGTTTTGGAGAACCATTACAAAAGAGGAAAGGCCTTCTTGAGGCAAATGGCCACTTCCTCTTATTGTGTTACGGTGAGGCTGGAAGGACAATTAAAAAGGAAGCTGAGTGTGCCCCCAGTCCCAGCAGCACTGGACACCCCGAGGAAGAGGATCTTAGGTTCCAGGCTAGCGTGGGCTACGTGGAGTGGGGTGTACATGGGACTGGAAGAAAGAATAATAGATGAGAAGTGGTTAGATGGAGCCTGCTTGGCTTGGGAAATGTTAGCAGTAGGGTCCCCTGTGCTAGGCATTGGGACTGGTGTCACCCCAAATTTTCTCTCTTTAAAAGTGAACCTAAAGTACATTCAAGGAAATCTTCACAGATGCAAAAGATAAGGGCTTATTTGTTTATTTCTTTTTACAAGCTATGAAGGCCTACAAGCAGAAATGAATGGTATGCATATATAGTCACCAGAGCCAGGTAGGCCACATAAATGACATCAGTGAGTGGCTACTAGAGTCTGCGCAGTTTACTTGATGGTGGCTCTTCTCCAATCCAGTACCTTGAGGCACTGTGGAATCAGAAGTCTTTCCTGACTTTTTTTTTTAAAGTCATAAATTCACATAGAAAATACCTTGATTCTCCTCTCCTCCCTCTCTTTCTCTCCTTACCTGAGCAAAACCAAGTCTCTGCGTTGATTAGCATATCAAAGCTGCCAGGCTACAACCTCTGGGATCAAGAGTACTCTTGAGCTGAATACAGATAGAAATACTTGGGACTTCTCATATGTAAAGAGAAGAATTGAGAAGTGCCGTGGTTTTAATATGTGTAAATATCTTGAGACATGTGCATAAGGGAGATCAAATTTGGGATTGAAAAATTATTTATTTACATATCACTAACATCAATTTCAAAGAAAGTAAATTTTATAAGAAGCCCTGGTGAAAATTCTGAGAAGTTGTGAAAAACATGCAGAGCAGCCAGCAGCCAGCAGCCAGGCGGCAACTGGCTGGTTATTCATGGCTTGGTGGCAGAATACTTCTCATCAGTCTTTAGAGCTCTTCTGCGAGGTCCTGGAAACACCTGTATACATTTTTGAATTTCACAGTAACTTGAGGCTCTTGTTACTTTAGTACCTAAGGACCAGGGTTTTTTTTTATCAATACCTGGAATAGTTCTGTGGATGGCGGAAGGAGAAGCCAATAAAAATAACATGAACATCAGTGACCGGATAGTCTGAATAAACAGTAGACCGACCACTCATAGTAAAAAGCATATACTTTGATGATATACCTCATCAACATAGAGCATAGATACAGAGCGTGTGAGCTGACAGATGTCTCCCACCTGGAAGTCACATTGCCCTTTTCTCTGTGCAGGCTGGGAAGACCCCCATGGATCTGGTACTGCACTGGCAGAATGGAACCAAAGCAATATTCGACAGCCTGAAGGAGAATGGCTACAAAACCTCTCGCATAGCTACATTCTAAGGAAGGAGACTCTCAACAGGAGCTGTTGACAGGCATTTTCGAAGCATTGCCTACCGGAAGAGCAACCACCAGTTATAAAATCCAGCTTTTGTTTGCCAGAGGGTAGAGAGATAGACTTTAAAGACGCTTCAAGAAAGCACTGGGTTATAGGTGCCAAAATTTCCTTTAGTGATGCTCACCATATTTATTTATTTCTATTTATTTATTTATTTCCGAACACTGGTATTCAGGCTTTCACGAGCATTTTGGGGGGAGTAAAACTTAACCTGTATGCGGTATTCAGAGTCTTCCCATAGATCTTAAACCCTGTGGGTGAATGATGTCTAATTGCATACATTTGTCCTCAGTTGCATAGAGCTATTCAAGGCATTTTTAAGTGGCAAAGGGGGATTATTGCAGCCAGCGCTCTTCGGAACTCTTGCCGCTGGCATTTGAACGAACCGACAGAAGGCATGTGGCGTCGGGAAGGGAATGGAAGCAGTTCTGCAGGACAGACACGGAGCCCGCCTTCACCCATAGACTTGGTTTGATCGGTTGTTTACCAGGTCACACAAGGTCCCCAGGTAAAGAGACCGTCCTGAGTGTAGGTGCAGGGAGGTGGAGGGAGTGGGCAGGGAGGCCGTGATAAACCGAGTCCGATGAAATAAAAGGCAACAGGAAAGACACTGTAAATGTGTAAATGTGTATTGTGTTGTATGTCTATTTTATATTCATAATAAATGCGAACAAATTCTGAATCCTGTTCTAAGTTCTTTGTGCAGTGGTGGGAATTTCTCACTTAAGAAGAGTCATTTAGGAAGATGCTTGTTTATCAGGGTTTTCCAGCTTTTTCAGATTAGAAACATCTAGGGATTTGGGGAGATGGCTCGGGGGTTAATAGCCCTTGCTGTTCTTGCAGAGGACCTGAGTTTGGTTCCCAGCACCAAATAATGGCTCACAGCCACCCATAAAGCCAATCCCACTGGATCAGATTTTCTCTTCAGACTTCCACAGGCAGCAGGCATGCACATGGTGCACATACATGCAGTCAAACACTCATACAGATTAATATAAAATAAATCTAAATTAATAAGAAATGAAGGAGGAGACAGGAAAGAAAAAAAAGCAATGTCCTGTAGAAACTACAGTCTCAGTACTTAATGCGCTGACAGGTTGACCAGGTATTTTGATAAACTGAAGAATTGCCCTCAGCTGGTCTCAGATGAGGTCTGTGAATCTGCATTTCTTACAAGCTCCTGCCTTACCAGGTAGGAGGCTGAGAACTAAACGATTAAAAAAAAAAAAGGATGTTGTTTGGCTCCAATGGTGTGGAAAAAGAGACCCCTGGTGGGAAGAATGATTACTGCACGTTAAACAAGCACTTCTTGAGTGCTCATCAGGGCTTGACTCACTAATTAGGGGCTTATCAATCATTGTACTGTGGACAGGCACAGACAGGGCTAAAGGCCTTCCATGAGAGAACATTCTGGGTCGATGTCTTTTGACCTCCAATGGGAAATTTTGTTGTCAAATGCTGAGCAAGGAGCTAAAGACCTCTGGTGAGAAACACGATTGTCTCGGCCCCGCTGGGACAGACAAGTGTTAAAGTAAGTAGAAACAAATAGATCACATCAGTCATTTTAGGTCCAATGAAGGGGAACTCTAGAGTGCTCTTTCAGTGTCTAAAATGTGGAGGCCCATATGTGGTGGAGTTGGATTTTATGACTTCTTGGAGGTGTCAAGCTTGAGGGAGATGCTGAAAGACGAACAGGACTTATTCAAGTCTAGAGTTCTGCAGGCAGCAGAAGAGAGTGGACAAGCTCATGGGTGTGGGGAATGCCTGGAACTTGGACCTTTGTTGCCTGAGGAAGACTCATGTTAGACCCCAGCACCGTGCTCCCCTGAAACTCACGCCAAGTAGGACTGTATACACCAACCTCTCACACACGCCTCTGCCATTTGGTGGGAGAGTACAGGCACTCTCTGTCACCAAGACATCTTCCAATCACCCAGCTGTGGGCACTCATGGAGTTGTGAGGATGATCTGAAATGTTATTGGCTCCTCTCCATCTGTTTTCTTACCAACCCACAAAGCTCCCCCCTCACATCGAGAACTGAATGGCAGGTTCATTCTCTCAGTACTCTCTCTCCTAACCCTTCTGTTTCTGACTTCCCCATAGTATCCTAGCCAGAGATCTAAGCTGGTGGTTCTCCACCTGCAACGCTTTAACACAGTTCCTCATGTTGTGATGACCCCCAACCATAACATTATTTTCATTGCTACTTCATAACTGTAATTTTGCTACTGTTACGAATCATAATGTAAATATTTGTGTTTTCTGATGATCTCCAGCGACCCCTATGAAAGGGTCCAGAGGGGTCGCGACCCACAGGTTGAAAACCAGTAATCTAAGCTATGGGATCCAGTAAGTGCTCCCAATGCAGACAGTGTTTCTCTTGCTCATGCTGACATTTGACTGCTATTACTTGGATATGTTAGTATGTGACCAAAGTGTCTTATTTGAGCCTCTTTGACCCCAAGAGCTGGAGGTTAAAAGGAGAAAAAGAGTTAAAGGCAAGCTTTGCATTGTCCCATTTAAATATTTATCCTAATAGGGAAGTGGAGGGCACAAGAGACAGCATAGAATGAGTCCATTTAGATGGACACCAGCTCTGGTTCTATCTTTGGGAGTGGGAAAGAGATACTTAAGGGGGAAATCCCATATCTATCACAGATTTTAGAAGCTCCTGTCTTTCCCCTGAACCGGCTCTGCTTATGGTCTGTTATTGTGTGTTCCCTTTCTCCCTGAAGGGTATACTTCATGGGCTGATGGAGAGTTCTGGAAGTTGTTCTTGATTTTATTTTCATTCAGCCCTTTTGATTAGCGACCAAGTCTTATCAGACATGCCGACATCTTGTGAGAATGCCCTGTATCTGTGCCCTCCAATCCAGGCAAGGCCTGCAACATCAAAATTATTCAAAAATCCCTCCTGCCTCCTGGCCTTCAGGTTTACTTACCACTCTCTTTAAAAAAATTATTTGTGTGTGTGTGTGTGTGTGTGTGTGTGTGTGTGTACACCTGTGCACCATGCATGTGCAGGAGCCCACAGAAGCCAGAAGAGGGTGTGCTATCTCCTGGAACTGGAGTTACAAGATATTTGAGCCACCCAGTGTGGGTGCCGGGGACTGAACCCAGGTCCTCTGGAAGTGAAGAAAGTGCTTTTAACTGCTGAGCCATCTCCAGCCCCATTCCCTATTCTGTTGTCTTTAGTTGCAGCCAGAAGTTTCCTAAAATGCAAATCTGATCCAATTAAACCTTTCAGTGGTGTCTTATTTCTCTTGGGACCAAATGCAAACTCCTTAACTTGTCTTAAAATATCTTTAAAATTTGGCTGCTGCTAATCTTTATTATTTTCAATATAGGGGCTTAAACCCAGGGCCTCATGCACACAGGAAAGTGCCCTAAGCCTGAGCTGTATCCCCATCCCAACCTACTGTTTTGTTTTCGCTTGTTGCTTTTCAAGGCAAGATCTCCCTAAGTTGCCCAGGATGGCCTTTAACTCACTCTGTAGTCTTGGCAATCCTTGAATTTGTGACCCTCTCACCTTGGTCTCCTGAGTAGATGGGATTACAGGCCTGTGCTTCCAGGCAGCTGGTGAGTCAGCTTAACTTTATCCCAGAGTATAAGAAACATATAGGATTTATGAGCCTGGGGACAAATGTTGCATTAAGTGGCACCATTCCTATCATAAAGTTTCCTAGGTGGCAGTAGAGCCATATAGCAGAGCTCCTAGCACAAGTATTGGTTATGTGGAGCAGGGATCTGTGCCAAGGGTCAAGCTAAAGATAAATTAGGCATCTGGCTTAGAGACAGCTTTCAGATAAGGTCAGTCCTCCAGGCCCAGGGACATTCTCCAGATAAGGGCAGGTAGAGAGCAGGAAGTTTCACTGGGAGGGAGTGAATCTCTGTATCATAAAGTTTTTGGAAAAAGCTGCCAGGCCATGATAGACTGCAACCTCTGACTAGCCAGCAAGGCCTTCCAATATATAGCTCTGTAGTACAATCTGAGGTCAGAGATGGTGATAACTCCAGTAGCTTTTTATTATTATTATTATTTTTGTTTTAGCTACCATGTGTATGTGTGTGTTTCCATATAAAGCCTGAGAACTCTCCTTTCAAGATCTGTGAGGAATTATGTTGGAATTCTGATGGGGATTGCTTTGAATCTGTAGATTGCTTTTGGTAGGATGGCCATTTTTTTTTTATTATATTAATCATAAAAAAATGTAACACAGGCAGGCCTTTAACTCATGATCCTCCTGCCTCCACCTCCTTTAGTACATCCTATGGGTGTGCACTACCACTATCTAAACAGAGAATTCTCAAAAGGAGAAACTCAAATGGCTGAAGATCAGCAAAACAAGTGACCGGTCATGCTATAGAGGATGTGGAAGAAGAGGAACCCTTCTCCTTTGCTGGTGGGAGAGCAAACTTGGACAGCCACCCTGGAAATCAGCGTGGCAGTTCCTCAGGAAGATGGCAATTGATCCACCTCAAAATCCAACTACACCACTTTTGAGCATATACCCAAAGGCTGCTTCATCCTACTAAAGACACTTGCTCAACCATGTTCATTGCTGGTCTATTCATAACAGCCAGAAATTGGAAACAATCTAGATATCCCTCAAAAGAAGATTGGGCAGAGGAAAGGTACATTCACACAAAGAAACATTACTCAGTTGTCAAAAAAAAAAATGAAATCATAAATTTGCAGGTAAATGGGTGGAACTAGAAAAAAAATCATCCTGAGGTAACCCAGACACAGAAAGACAAATATACATATTTGCTTATTTGGGGCTATTAGCTATTAAATAAATGATAATCAAGCTAGAAGATTAGGTAGAGAGTCAGGGAGTTGCGGGTGGTGCAGATAAATCTCCCTAGAAAGGGGGAATAGAGCAGTTATAAATAGTTATGGATGTGATTGGGGTAGGGGCTGGAATGGGAGGATCAAGTGGAGATTGGGAAGGAAGAGGGGGACAAGGGAGGGGAGATGGGGAGAGACAGATACAATGAAGGGCCACTTGAGGGGTAGTATGGAAACTGAATACAGTGGAAGCTTTCTGAAATATACACATATATGAAGGTGATCTGAATGAAATTGCCAAATAATGAGGAAGACAGCCCCAACTGGCCATCTCTCGTCACCAATTGAAGCCTCCAATACCAGAATTGAGTTACATCTACTTGAGTTCTTGGCCAAAGAGGTCCCAAGGGATCTTCAAACAATCCAGGCTGTTGCCAAGACTATAGGTTACTCTCCACAAACTGACAGCGAGGCCTCACTGCTGAAGACAACACCCACACAACTCATTGAACATGGAGAAGTCAAGCTGGTGCCTATATAGATCTTTCACTCCTAGATGACAGCGACTTTGGTACAGGAAGGTACTCTGCATGCTACCAAAGGAGAAACCAGTCACAAATCCTTTGATCTACAATGGTGTCCTGCATGCAAGATAGGCTCCGGCAATGGAGGCACAAAGCTTGTGGAGTAATCAATATATGATTTGACTGAAGACCCATGCCATGAAATGGAACCTATTACTTGGGTGGCCAAGACTCTGAGAATAGCCCAGGGACCTAGGGTAAAACCAAATACTACTGTTTAACAAAAAGTAACAATAAAATGACCCCTAATGATATTCTGCTATACTCAAATCATTGCCTTGCTCAACTATCATCAGAGAAGCTTC